TAATAATAAAATAATAATAATAATAATAATAATAATAATAATAATAATAATAATAATAATAATAATAATAATAACAATAATAATAGTAACAATAATAATAATAATAGTAAAACAATAGCAATAATAGTACTAATAATAATGATGATAATAATAATATGAGAAAGGAAACAAACTGACAGATAAACATTTCTGAAAAATTTTTTTTGGCAAAAAATTTTTCCAAAAAAAGGCTATAATGAAATTTTTATGGGAAATATAACATCTATATTTAATTTTTAACAATGACTTTCTTGTTTAATTATCCTAAAATTATCAGATAATAACAAATTGAGATAAATAAATGTTAAAAATAAAGATTTTCATGATTTTCAGAATAATCGAGAGTATTTACCATTCCTAATATTCTCGGGAATTGGTAAAATGATAGGCAAAAGTAAACAGTATATATATTTGAAATAATGGAAAGTGAAATTTCCTCTTCAACTTTAAATATAATCTTAAATTATAGCAATAAAGTGTCACCGTTATTTGATTAACATTTAGAAAAAAAAAAAAACTAAACGACACCTTTTATCGTTTTCCTCCTTCAGATGACAAATACTATTCCAATGTTTGTTGATTGGTTGATTGAATGAGTTAGAAGATTAACAGGTATAAGCAATCTTTATATACACACAATGACAGACAGACATGTACACACACACACACATACACACATACAAACCCATAGAAACATGTAACGATAAAGTATATTAGATACTTTAATACCCACAGTATGACAATATTGGTATAACATTGATGACAAATGTCGAATTTTGATTTGTAGGACGATTACAAACAGTTTAGCAGAAAGTATCCATAGATACACACACACACACACATATATACATACATACACACACACACACATATATATATACATGCACAGACACACACAGACACAGACAGACAGACACAGACATACAACACACACTACCAATATTTTTCAAATTAAGTCAAATAGAGAGGAAAGTTAATGAAAAGAAGGAGGGATTCAAACTTGAAAGGTAGAAAGAGAGATTTTTCAAACTTGAAAGGTAGAAAGAGATTTTTCCAAACTTGAAAGGTAGAAAGAAATTTTTCAAACTTGAAAGGTAGAAAGAGGTTTTTCAAACTTGAAAGGTAGAAAGAGTTTTCTCAAACTTGAAAGATAGAGAGAGAGATTTTTCAAAGGGGGAAAAAAAAACTTATCAACAGGTGAATTTGAAAGATTGTTAGCATTAACATAATATTACTCCTTTTTGTACGATCTTTCATATCAAATAAGAGGCAAAAAAAAAAGAAAAAAGAAGAAAGCATTTGTAAAATATCTTGGTAAGTCTTAATTAACAATCATTATATTACTGTAACAATTAATTAAACATTACTGTAACAATTAATCAGAATTAATTAGAGACATTGAAGTAGTTGAAAAATATTTTTTCTTACAAATTAACTTAAATATAAAATTGGGAAAATTTTTGCATAATTTGAATAATTTAAAATCAAATATTGTTAAATTTGCAAAAAAAAAAAAAAAAAAGAAAAAGAAAAGTAGTTAAATTTACCGTATGAAATTAACTAAA